GGTGGGGGGGCGCGCCCGGCTGCCCGGGGCGGCGCTGGCGCCCTGAGCCGCTCTCCCTGGGGGCGGGCTGCGGGGTGCAGGGCACGGCGTAGGGACCACGCTCCCGCCCCCCATCCAGCATGTCCCAGCTGGCCGAGCGCCTCTCGCTCCTGCCCAGCCCGTCGGCGCGGATGTCGTTGTCGGTGATGGTGATCTCCGGTGTGACGTACCAGGAGCGGCCCGGGGGGCCGCGGCTGCCGTCGGCGTGCACCCTCTCGAGGATGGAGCTCTCCGAGAGGGACAGGGCGGCGTAGCGCTTGGGCGAGCTTGACAGGTTGATCACCACCGGCTGCCGGCGCTCCTCGGGGGATAAGGCACGGTGGTGCTCCTGGGCGAGCAGGTTCTCATAGCTGCGCCCGCGCTGCAGGACCTCCTCCCTGCGCACCGCCGGCGCCAGGATGTTGTCCCAGGATTTGGAGTAGTGCTGGGTCTCCCGGCCCAGCCGCGGGGGGGTTACGCCATAGCTGGCGTGCCAGGAGGAGAGCATGGCCTCGCGCCCGGCCGGCTGCGGGGCGAAGCGCGACACTTGCAAGGTCTGGTAGGGCAGCGCGCCCCGCTCGGGGCAGTACCAGTCGCTGAAGTGCAAGGGCTGGGCACTGCGGGGCGGGGGGCACGTCCGCGACAGCACCTCCCGCTCCCGGTACTTCCCGTAGTCCTCGGCGTAGAAGACCCGGGCGGAGGAGCCGAGGGCCGGGTACGTCCGGGCGTCCTCGGTGTAGATGGTTTTGACGGGGGTGCCGCGGGGGGCGTAAAAGCGGGGCTCGTCCCCGTAGAAGGCGCAGGCGGGCGCCTCCTGCACCGGGTAGCCCCGCGCCTCCTCCACGTACAACGTCCGGGGTGGCACGGTGTGGACAGCAGCTTTGGCCGGGTCCTCGGCATAAAAGTGCTGGGGGATGCTGTGGCGGCTGGGGTAGGGGTAGCTGGCGTAGCCAGAGCTGCGGAGGGGCACGGCAGGGCTGGGGCACCGCGCTGGCTCCTCCGCATAGAAGAACTTGGCAGGGACGCCGGGGGCCGAGAAGGTCATGCAGCCCCTCTCGGGGTACTCCCTGAACTCCCGCGAGGCCGGCACCGGCACCGTCTGGTACGCCAGCGCCCGGGGGTCCGCCTCGTAGTACTCGCCGGGGTAGGGCAGGAGCGGGGGGTCCCCGCTGTAGGAGTCGCTGGGGGTGGGCGTGCGGGACGCAGATGCCTGCCTGCTCCCCGGCACTGCCAGGCTGCGGGCAGCCCCGGGCGCGCGGGGCCAGCGCGGCAGTTCCTGCCGGTTCTGGGCTGCCCGCAGGTTGCGCGCCGCGTGCACCAGCACCGCCTCGTCTGGCTTGATGTCCACCCGGCACTTGACGTGGGGGCTGGCGCCCATCTTGGTGCCCGGCCCCTCCTCGAAGCAGTTGCTGCCCAGGCAGAGCGGGGAGATGCGGCTGACGCTGCTGCGCTGCGGCTGCAGCTTGATGGGGTGCACCTCGTTAGCCAGCGCCCGCAGGGGAACCTGTGTCTCACGGCGCGGTGAGGGCTCGGTGCGGGAGGGCTCCCGTGCCACCCGCAGTGCCTCCCGCCCACGCCGGACCGGTGGCGGCGACGCCGAGACAGCGATGGGCACCGGGGTGAAGGTGGACTTCACCCGCGGTGCGCTCTTGGAGCGGGCGCGTCGCTTCGGC